ACACAATTGACCATGAAATACTGTTTTAAAAACTTGAACATTATGGCATCATCGGTAATGCTTTAAAACTACTAAAAAGCTATTTAAAACATCGCAAACAATATTGACGGATCTTCTTCACAAGATTATTTAAATATAGATTATCTAAATATAACCTGTGGAGTTCCACAGGGATTTATACTAGGGCCCTTATTATTTCTAATTTATGTTAACGATCTCCATGAAGTCTCAAAATTAACAACTATAATGTTTGCTGATGATACAAACCTATTCCTATCAAATAATAACGTCGATAAACTTTTTTATGATATGAACATTGAACTAATAAAAATATCTGACTGGTTTAAGTTAAATAAACTTTCACTCAACATTGATAAAACTAAATGGATTTTCTTTCATCCACGATTTAAAAAACATTTACTTCCAAGTAATATGCCTCTTCTTCATATTGATAATATTCAAATAAAAAGAGTAGTTTTCACAAATTTTCTAGGTATCATTGTTGATGAAAATCTATCATGGAAGAATCACATCGGACATTTATGCAACAAAATTGCAAAAAGCATTGGAGTTTTATATAAAGCAAGAAGCGTTTTAAACAAACATTGACTAACTCAACTATATTACTCTTTCATACACTGTCATATTAATTATGCTAATATTGCATGGGGTAGTACCCATAAAAGTAAATTAAAGCCACTTTATTGTCAGCAGAAGCATATTGCACGTATTATAAATTTCAAAAATCGTTTTACTCACTCAAGGTCACTTTTATTTATAATGAATGTTTTTAATATATATCAAGTAAATGTTTATAATGTTCTTTGTTTTATGTTTAAATGTAAAACCAACTCTTCTCCAGCTTCCTTTTTTGATTTATATTCTTTAAAAGAAAAAAACAAATATTCTTTAAGAAATAATAATTTTATTAAACAACCAAAATTTCAAACAAACTTTGGTAAATTTTGCATTTCTTTTCGTGGAGCTTTTTTATGGAACCAAATAATTTTAAAAAATTTTGATTTTTCTCAAGAATGGAATTATTATATGTTCAAACGAAAACTAAAAAAAGTAATATTCTCAATTGAAAATATATTTATATACTTTTAATTTTACCCAGTTTTGTCAACACTCATTTATATTTTACTTTTATACAATATTGATTTAAAGTTTATGTCAGAAACTGTAGTTAAACATCATTATTTGAATTTTGTTAAAAGTTCCACTGACATTATTTGTACAGTAGGCATTTATTATTTACTTGTTTACTTTAATTTTTATTTTATTTCGTAATTTTGTAAATAATTTGTATTACGAACGGTATATACTTTTAATATTGAATTTAATTTTGTAATGAAAAAAAAAAAAAAATATATATATATATATATATATATATATATTATTATATAAAAAAAAAACAAAAAAAAAAAAAATTTGCGGGTGAATCAGCATAAAACCTTATGAGTCTTAAAGCGGAAATTGATATTATGCCTACAACGTTAGTTGCAGGCATAACCTTAGGAATCTTCGTCAAAATAAACCACATGAGGCATAAAAACCACATGAGGCATTTCCCCTGCACTTAAGTTTTGTAAAAATGAAACTAATTCGTTTGAATTTACGACTGTTTTGTCGAATCGCTGCATGTATATCATAACACTGCTAATACGCGCTATAATTTTAGTTTCCTTTACATTTCCCAACTACCACTCCCATAAATCCATAACTTGTCGTATTTTTCAATTACCGCTTGGCATGAATCTCCATGAATAGTTCAGCGAGTTGTACAAAATGCATGAACACAACGATTTTCATTTTTGCTTAATTCACGGAGTTCTTTTAAATGAGTTTATCTTCTTGGAAATTTTTTTACAAGTTTACAAAAGTTTTTTTTAATGCTCCAAAGGTTTCTGACAACAGTTTAATATTTTTAACAGAACCTCCTATAGCAAGATTTAAGGCATGCTCATAACAATGTGTATTCAGGCATTTTCAACTTAATGCCTGCCGTATCACCCGCACCATAGTAACATTGTCTGTAAACATTATCCCGTTTGAGGGTCATTCGTAAAATGACATCATGTAAATAGGAAAGAATTGTTAACTCTAATGCATAAACTAAACAGGGAATTTCTTGCAAAAATAAGAAACCATAATCGATAAAGCAGTAAAAACATACAGCCCGCAATATTTATATGATGAATATAAAGAGTAAAAAAAATTTGAAATTTGCATTTTATTGCAGTATAGATAACTTAATAATATTTACGATTGAATTAGCATCAGGAATTTCTATTGAATAAAGGCCGATAAAATTTTGTATTTCTAAACTGTCACTAACCCACTGAAAACAGATAATAAGTTGATCAATATTAGATCACCAGTCTCATCTACCATGATAGTGTAAAATCCTCCTTACTGGATTTTTGACGAGATATCGCGCAATATTTTACGTGCCTTCAGGACCATCCAGAAGGAGGGATGACGGGGGTTTCCCCCCACCCTCCCAATGCTGTCATATAAACATTTGAGTTAGCACATTGAGCAAATTTTGAACTATAGTTACCGAACTGCAAATATTGAGGACTTTGGCAAAAGACTTTTTTTAAAAGTTCAAACATTCATCTATCGAATTGGAAACAAAAAAATAATTATTGTGTATCTTAATAATATACAAAACATAAAAGAAAAAATGTTAGAAAAATGCATGTTTCAAAATTGGAGGGTAGCCCCGGACACATAGTTTAAACGTGATTTTACCACTTTTTTACCAGTGTAAAACAAATGTAATATAAAATAATTTAGAATTAGACTGTTCTCGACACATTTTTTAAAAATCGCCTTTAAAAATTGCCTTTGATATATAAGGAATGAGAATGAAAATGTCATCATTTAAAAATACAAACATAAGCTTTTTTATAATAAAAATAAACACTTTAAAGAGACTTTTTTTAAACCTAATGTTTTTTTATTGAAATTAAATGAATTACTGTTTTGTTTTGTGCACTATTTAAATATATTAATATTTATATAAAAAAAGTTGTTTATTATTAATATGTTAACGAATTAAGTTGTCCGGAGCCACCCTCCAAACATGTGTCCGATACCACCCAATCATACCCCATTCACAAATACTAGTTTAAAACCAGTGAATTAAACTTTCTAACGAATTTTTTTTTTTTTTAATAACTATTGTAAATAAAAATATATCTTTAATCATTAAAAAGTTATTAGTTTACATAAAAATAAGTATATCAATATGTGAATCAAATATGATGATACGTCACTCTTCTGGTGGTGGGAAACAAAATCTTGCCCTCCTAGTCATTCGCTTCGGCATTTTATGATAGATATTTTGCATATGCCATATTTTCACTTAAATAGTATTATTCTAGTATTAATAGTCACATAGTTTCTTTAGTTTAAGGTGTACATCAAGTGTCCGGAGTTACCCGCCGTCCGGGGCTACCCGACTTTCCCCTATATTAAACTTTCCTCTTTATAATGAGAAGTTATTCTTTGTCCCAGTCACCTCTTAGCGGAATAGTCAATGTAGATTTGAAAAGCTAAATTTTATTGATATTCTATTGAGTGACAAAAGATAATCCTACCGGATGTATAAAATAATTTTTAGAAGCACACTTTTAATGTTAAGCTATTCTAAATGAAATTCATTAGAAAGGATAGACCCAATAATTTCGTACTCTGTTAGAGCCTTAAAAACGAGCAATGTTGCTTCTTTAAGCGAATGAGAAATCTCGTGAGCGCTTTATTTATTTGTAGCTTTTTTCCAATTAATAAATCTTTCTGTGGTGAAAACAGATTGCTTTTTAGAGGAAGAGATAGCATTTAAACGAATAGCTTTAATGCACGCGATGAAATATGCTGAATCTTCTTTTTCATTTATGTTTCATCATTCTTATTTGTCTTTTGAAGAAAATTCATACTATATATAATATTCAAACTTCTTTTTCATTTTTTTGCTTTTCCATCCCTGTTAACAAATACACGGACTACAATTGTTGGATTCTTTCTAACAACAAAGAAAAGAGGTTTAATGATAAAAAAGAAATATTAATTAAATGAGCACATGCCTTATTTTAAAACTAAGTAGGTTTTGTCTGTTTTAACTTATACATTTTATCATTTGACTTCCCCACTTAAACCAACTTAATGACTTTTTTATTTCATGTCTCACAACAGTGAGACATTGTCATTCTTAATTCATGTCTCACAACATTGCAATGAAATCTTTAACGCTGCGTTAGTGATGTTGTAAAGGAGTTATTTGTTAAAAAGGCGTTCATGCGTAAACATAAATCGTCGAAAACTTTTGTCAAAGGAACTTACACCGAAAATCCAGATAGAAAAGACCTAACAAACTAGGTTTTTTCTATCCTTTTTGATTTCTTAATCTTTATTCGCTTGCTTTTTTTAAAAACTGACTTCAAAATTATTTATTTGAAAAATTATTGGCGGGGAAGGGGGTGAGGATGTGCCAAATTCCCCTGCTGCTCCCCTCGGTTTTTTATTTTGGGACAAGAAATTATTCCAAAAATAACGTTGCTTTTACAATTATAACGTTTCTTTTGTAAAATCTATACTAGTCTTTCTTACGCATATCGTCATTGCGTTGACGTAAGAAAAGCGACAATAAGTTGTTTGAATTTTTTGTCTACATTAAGTCCACACATGTTTGGATAAATGAATTATTATCGACTAAAAACAAAATTACAGAAAAGTGGACTTTGATGAGATAGTAGTAAAACGTCACGCAAGCATAAACAATTATTCACATTTTTTTAAATATCTTAACACACAAAAATAAAATGCGTGCTACTATATTCTTAAAATCCGACTGATCTTCCAAACAAAAAAAAAAAAAAAGTTTTAAAAAAAAGTAATAAAATAAAAGAAATCTATTTTCTATTTGCTTTTTCTAAACATTTTTAAACCGGTAATTTTTATATTTTTTGATTAGTATAAAATGTGTTAAAGCCTAACTTTTATTTTTCTTTTATTTTTCATGCTCAACATTTTTTTACTTTACAAATTACTCATTCTTCATTAACAAATTTTCACTTTACAAATTGATTACAAGTAATATTGTTATAAAGACTCTGTTTTTACCTTTTTCTTTTTTTTCTTCAATATGTTACTAGATTCTTTAACTATATATTTTTCATTGTTTTCGTCGCAGTTGTTACGATGTTTCTTCTTTTTTTTCTTTCTCTTTTCTTCCATAATTTCGATAAATTCATTTACTATACAGTTTTTTTCCTTAACAGCATCGTTATCATTATCGTGATCTTTACTTTTTTTCTTTTTGTTCTTTCTTTTTAAATCAGTTATTTCATTACATTCGTTAACATCACTGTTATTGCTAAAAATCGATGTGATTTTTTTTCCTTGTTTTTTTTCATTATTTTCCATTAAAACGTAATTTTTTTCGTGTTTACTTAAGTTAATATTACTATCACTAACAATCGATTTCTTCTTTTTCTTTTTTTCTTTTGTTTCAGTACATTCGTTTTCACTAAAATTAAAACTGTTTGTGTTTGTAATAATATTTTTATTTTTTATATTCAGCTCTTCATTTGAGTCATCTCTCGTCTTGCGCTTCTTCTTACGCGCAGACTTAACGGAATCACTGAAATTATCTGTGTTAGAAGAAAAAACTTCAGGTTCTTCATCACTTAATTTTCTCTTAAGTCTATTTAAAGTATGATTCTTCTCTAATTTGCTTTTAACACCAACTGGATTTGCATCATCTGGAACTTTTTTTGAAACCTCAACTGTTTTTTTTACACTTTCAGGTTTCTCTAATTTTGAGAAATTTAAATTGATTTCTAAATTAGAATCAAAAAAATTTAAATAACTTATTTGATCATTGTCAATTTTTTTTTTGTTTTTATCTGATTGTATACAAGTAGATTCACCTGAACTAAGGGGTACTTCTGATTTCTTTACATGACTTTTTAAAGTTGACGTAATTTGTTTTGACAAATACTTTTTGTATGGTTCATCTAAAAATAACATGCACTTCATGAATTTATAGCAAATAAATATATTTGTAGCAACTAGATGTATTTGTAGCAAGTAAATGCATTTGTAGCAAATAAATGCAACTGCAGCAAATAAATGTATTTGTAGCAGCTAAATGTATTTATTGCAACTAAATGCATTTGCAGCAACTAAATGTATTTGTAGCAAATAAATGTATTTGCAATCTCTTTTTGATAACAGACAGTATATTACAGTTTTACTGTTTTAGTTTTAATTTTGACAGCACAAAAATAAATTTTAAACTTCATTATATATATATATATATATATATATATATATATATATATATATATATATATATATATATATATATATATATATATATATATATATATATATATATATATATATATATATACATATATATATACATATATGTTTTATGGTCAGACCATTGTATTAAATAATTTTTGCCGACCTGATGCCGACATCATTTTCCCAAATTCGGAGGGTTCATATATATACATACACACACACACACTTTATTTAATTAGTCAAATCGTATTGATATTAATGTAGCACAAAAATTTTGCTCTTTTTCAAAAAAATATTTCAAAATAAAAATCCTTACCAGATCCAAAGGGTTTCCATCGTACACAAAGATTATCAGGAGTTTCTAATTTTTTTTTTTTTATTTTCTTATTTTTTTTTTGGTATGGTAAGTTAATACATTGTGCAATATTCAAATAAACAGATATAGGAGGACCTAAATAAAAAAAATTTAAGAGACATTTCATTATATAACATTTATCATCAACTAATTATAAATTTTTTAGCTGTAATTACAATAAGTATGTTAATCAAAAAATCAAACAATTTTTTGATAACTACGACTTTTCCAAAACATGTAATGAATATTCAATACTAATTTGTTAAACCTTTTTTTTTTTCATTTACTTTTAATGTAAATAGCCTTATCTCAAACTAATCAGAAAATCTTTCCGTCTAATGTGTTTCAAACCAGTTTATTAGACAATAATTTACAAAAAAATTTAATAGAAACGTGGGAATCGTACATTGTATAAAATATTCTGTAATAATAAAAGTATAAATTGATAAACATAATGGTATCAAATTAGATTTCTTTCCAATTGTAATGTCCTTCATTCATATTGTTCATTTTAATAATTAAAACAGAAGCTTTTATAAAGGTTAGTGTTAGATGAAAGTGTATACAGGTAATCAGTTAAAATTAATTTGGAGATGGGTAGTAAAACTACCTTAAAGTTTTGAAATACACCATGTTTATTTCTTGGTATGGAAACCATGTTTATTTCTTGGTATGGAAATGAGATCAAACCTTTGACTGCAAAGTTATTGGACAAAAACAAAAAAAAACTGTTCAATCTGCTAGCATATAACTGTATGCCTGAAGCTTTTCCTTGTAACAACAGGAATATCAAATGCTGAGGTTGTTCAAATGTTTACCATCGTTTTAGTGGTAGTAAAAAAGTAAGTTGTTATTACTTAAATTAATTTATTTCAAATTAAACTTTACATAACTTGATTAATTTTTATCTGATACATTTGTTTATATTTTCCTATAATTATATAAAAATGTGTTCCACTGCAAGTTAATAAATAATAATACTTAAAATCCTGAATAAAGTACCAAAATAGAGAAAATTGGAACTAAAGGAAAGTTTCAAATAGGAGATATTGATCACTCCTTGAGGTAAGTTATAACTTTCATCACCTACTTCAAAAAAACAAAAAGTTTCTGATAAAGAAACTTATAATAAAGAGTTTGACACAATCATGGAATCAGATCAGGTAAAAAAAATGCAAACTGTAAGCTTTGATTATACAAAAATGTAAATTATATATATATATATATATATATATATATATATTATATATATATATATATATATATATATATACAAACATACAATTAGGTATAAATTATTAATAATAATAATGATAATAATAATAATAATAATGATAATAACAATGATAATAATAATAATGATAACAATAATAGTAATATTAATAATAACAATAATAATAGTAATATTATTAATAACAATAATAATAATAATAATAATAATAATAATAATAATAATAATAGTGTATAATATATTTGACAATTGATGAAATCAATTGTAGAGCACAATAACAGAAAACATTGTGCTAAAACAGCTATAAATGTTTTTATAATAGCATTGTTTACTTTTCAATGTATACAACTTTTATTTAGAATTATTTAATAATTTTTGCAATAATCTGATTTATCAAGTTTATTTTTGAATTGATCAATTGTTATTGATTCTATATTATATGGTGGTAAACTATATCAAGCTTCTATAACTCTACATGAAAAGAAATTATATCTAGCATTACTCTTATAGTATGCCTTTGTTAACTTTTAGTCATGACCAGGAAAATTGTAATGTTTTAATTGAGTTGTTTATCCAATTTATCTCCACATAACCTTTCTGTATTTTATATTGAAAAATTAAATTTATTTGTAAACAATTCTCTTCTAATGTAAAGTATTTGAGTTGCAAATAGGATATAGTCATAAAATGACTATAGACAACCATCAATTGAACTTTCAAACATTGGCTTAAATTTATCCGTTTTCGAACAGTTTACTATTGCATCACTGAGTGCATTCCAATGTTTAGCAACTTGATTACTAAAAAAATGATTTCAACATTTTTATTAAATTCTTGTATATAGGTTTAGTGTGCCAACTAATGATAAAAAGACCTTTATCGATTTTAAATTTTTGAATTAAGTCTCTTCTTATTCTACAACTCTCCAGTTTTTGAATTTGAAACAAAATATATCTCTGTGTAGCCATGATGTTTGCATATGGTCGGTACTTTTGTAGGTTGTCTTTGTATTTTCTCAATAATTTTTATTTATCTTTTATTGTGTAAGGAGACCAAGCACTGATTGGTGTAAGGAGACCAAGCACTGATTGCATATTCCAAATTAGATCTGACATGTTTTGTATAAATTGTTCCATAATACTAAATCACTTGATACAAATATTTTTTTAGTAGGTTAGTTTTATTACTAGCAAGAATAACTTCGAAAGGTTCAGCTAATACATCAGCATATTGTTTTAATATCAGTGGATGGACATTGTCTGATCCAGTTGTTTTATTTGTGTTTATATTTTTTCTTTTTCTTTTGATGTCATCTTTTGAAAAACAAAGAACTGAAAAATGCTCAGTTGAACATTCTGGAAATAATGGAAAGTTTTTATCAACTAAATAATTATTAAAATTGATCATTAAATGTGTCATCAATAAATCTGCAAACTGCCCAGATAACTCCAAATTTATTTAGAATTAATTTGATGCTTTGTTTAACTTTGCTTGAACTATTAGCTAAATAAATGTTTGGGATTTTTTGTATTGAAAGCTAAACTATGCTCAAATTTTTTAATTTAAAAAAAGTTTAGCTTTAACATAAAACATACAAACATAGGTTGGCAATTTTTTGTTAGGAGTTAAATTCGGCATTGCCATTTGCCGACAGTAACTCCTGACCTAGAATTGGCTTAATATAACTTTTTTTTATTTTATAAGTGCTTCACTTAATAGAATTTATTTATTTTAATTATTTATTTTAGTTATTTAATCCAAACTAAAAATTTGAAACTTTGATATTTTCTTATGTCTGCTTAATGAATATAACATTAAAAAAAAATCTGTTATATGAATTTGAACTTGCACACTAAACTAACAGTGGCACCTTATTTCAGGTCTTGTACATTATACAGTAAATTCAAAAGACAAAATTTAAATTTAAAAATGATTACTATTTTTGAAAATTTTATATAAATTTGCTTCATTTGTGACCCAACATAACATATTAAAAAAAAAACATTTATTTTTCCAGAGTAATTCCAATATGAATGGACAACTTTTGCACACCCGGGCTAAATAAATTCTTAAAAATTAAAACTCACTGTACTCTAATATATATATATATATATATATATATACATATATATGCATACATATATATATATATATATATATATATATATATATATATACATATATATATATATATATATATATATATATATACATATATATATATATATATATATATATATATATATATATATATATATATATATATATATATATACATATATATATATATATATATATATATATATATATATATATATATATATATATATATATATATATATATATTAGGGTGGGTTTTTTTTCAACTTTTTTTCAAAAAACTAAGCACAACCTCTAAATATGTGCAGGATAATAAAATTACACTAGGTTTAAAATTTTTTTGATTAAAAAATATTTTAAGGGGTCCCCCAAGACCCTTGAATTTTTAACGGGTCCCTAATATTAAAAAAAAAAATGTTTTTTAAAAGTAGGTCAACCTGGTACTCAAATGAAGCGAAATTATATAAAAATTTTAAAAATTATAATTGTTTAGAAAAAATTATTATAGGTTTAATTGCATAAAAAACAACATTTTTGATCAAAAAATGAAGAAAGTGCATTTTTAAAAGTTTTTTCATGATAATTTTGATAAATAAGTTAAAAAAAATATTTTTGTTCAAAATAATTATTATTTTTGAAATTTTTATATAATTTCGCTTCATTTGAATACCAGGTTGACTTATTTTTGAAAAACTTTTTTTTTTTTTTCATATTAGGGACCCGTTAATTATTCAAGTTAATTATTGGGGGACCCCTTATAATATTTTTTATTCAAAAAAATTTTAAACCTAGTGCTATCTTATTTTTTTGCACACATTTAGAGGTTGTGCCTAGTTTTTTGAAAAAAAAGTTGAAAAAAAACCCACCCTAATATATATATATATATATATATATATATATATATATATATATATATATATATATATATATATATAGATAGATAGATAGATAAAGAATTTTACTACAATAACGCTAAGCACTATCCTAAATTTGATTTAGAATTAATTAGATGCACAAAATCAGATGAAGCTGGGACTACAATGGCTAATGCTCTACTTCAAGATATATTGTTTTTCTACATCTAAGTGAAGATCCAAGTAAAATAAAATTATTGATCCAGCAAGAGAAAGAACGAGTATGTTTTAATGTTAGTTCAAAACTAACATTAAAACATACTCTTTTATAACATTTCAAATATAAAAGTGATTGGTTTGGATAGTAAACAAACAATTTAAAAAAATTATGAAAAAAAAAGAGAGATTGATGGTGAAATAAGACTTAATAAATCTAATAGCTCTAGCAGCTAAGAAAATTGATTTTAAAAATAAGACAATAATATTTGACAATAAAAATTTAAATATAAGTACTTTTTACCCATAAAACTCTTAACTGGAAATATAAAAAAGGTCATATATAAATCTTTTTTAAGTTTTATATTTGAACAATAGTTTGTTTACAAATAAACCAGGTATCTGGTTTAATTACAAATAAATCAGATATCCATTTATCAATAAATACCATACTAGATGTATAATTATTTATCTAGATACTGTATACCAAATTCCAAAAAAAATAGTTGAAAAAATTTATTAAGACTTTAGGGACTCAAAATAAAAATAGAAAATATCGGACTCGAGACTCCAACTTATGTAATATACGTAGTTAACTTATTTATAAAAAATTTTAAGAAGAGCATTAAAAAAAAAAAAAAGTCATTTATAAAGAAAAAGGTCATAAATATAAAAGCTTACCAAAAGTAGGTGTTCCATCTTGTGAAGGGAATAAAATATTAGTTTGCTATAATTTAAAAAATTAAATACTCTATTTATAAAAGAAGTCATGCATAAATAAGTTTTATATTTATTTCTGAATGCAATATTTACTTTTTGTCAAACAAGGCAAAGCTACTTTTTAAGAAAATTATTACAACAAACAATACATTTAGTATTTTTACAAAATTCTTTAAAACAATGAAGCAAAGCCAATTATTATTGACTTTTTGTTGTTTCCATGTTTATTACCAACACTTATTTAAGAGTATTTAAGAGGTAGAAAAGCAAAAACAATAAAACATTTAATAAACAATGTAGTTGTACCCCTGATATTTCTCCTAAAGATATTATAGAGCACAACCTTTTAAAAAACAAACCAAATAATGTAAGTGCAGACCTAGCAAAAGAGCATGTTCTTTAATCGTTATTCTTTATAATTTTTTTTTATATTATTCTTCATACAACATTTATAAATTCCTTATTTATTGCCCCAGATAAAGCAGCCAATCCTCATGCAACAAACTGTAAATACTATAATTCAAATATGAAGAAAATGTAAGATTTTTATATAAATTATTTATTTTATATAATATATCTTTTTTTACTCCGACCATCAAAGGGAAACACGACATGCTTAGTTTTATATAGCCAGACTCTGCTTTACAAGTAAACATTTGAACCTGCCATTTCCTGTGTAAAATATGAGACCTAGGACACGAGATGAAAAAATAACTCTTGAAATAAAACCAACTAAATACAAGAGTTGCTTCAATTCATTAATCTTAACTTACAATAAGTTGGTCTAATTCATTAATCCCTGACACCAATCTTCGATAAAACATTTCAATGTCGGGAAGCAAGACAATGCTTTCAAAGAGATAATACAAAACATAACAATAAAAGTTTTTTTTTTTTTTTTTGAAGAGAAAAACAATGAAGACCATATCTTGGAAACTGTAGTTTATTATTTTAACTTATTGTCATCTATATAATTAATGTTTATTTCTATATTTTAATTTAATACAATTTTATTTTAATTTTTATCAATTTACAATAAATTTTTTTGTTGACCTTAACAAATCTTTATGTACCTTAAGTTTATCTTGGAAATTGATTGGTACATCAGATTGGTGATATATAAACCAATCACAGATGATTGGTTTGCATCGCTAATTAAAATCATTATAGATATAGCAATTATTATTTTTTTGATTATACTCTTGAGTTTTTTATTAAATATTTTGAATGAGTTTAGATTTTAGTTTGTTATCCAAAAAACTTTATATATTAAAAACATGTTTTTCATATAAGAAACTTGTTTATAAGAAACTAGCACTAGAAGCCAAAATCTTAGGAAACAGTTAGTACTAAGTTATTTCTTGATTAGAAACTTTGTTGAAAATTCAAGGAATATTTTCAAATTTTTCATTAACATTTAAAATCAACTTAACATGAAATTAAAATGAAGCATTATCTAGAACAACAGTTTAAATAAGTATTTAATTTCCTTACACAATCAAATAAAATTATATTTGAATGCAAATAGAATTTCATTCAGAAAATATGAATGAGCCACAACTTCAAAATATTGATAACCAGAACAAGAATGTAGATGATAAGTCAATAGTGTAAATATCGAGGATGTTAATTCTGTTAATATTTCATAAATTATTAATAATCCACAAATAGAAAGCAGTACTTTATCAAAATTTAATTATGATTTATTACACTCTGTAACTTGATCTATTGAAATCAACAAGAGCAGCATATGTTTTCGGTAGAGCAGCCGCCAAGATGTCCATTATAAAACAAATTCTTGAGGAAGATATTTCAGTGACACCTTTTTTTATAGACAAATAAAAAAGTAAAAAAGAAATACAGGAATAGGGTTATCTAAGCATGAATCTTTGAAGGAACATCTTTAATTAATATATAAATAACAAATTCTAAAGTTAGAACATACAACACAGAACAGAAATACACCATCTCAATGAAAATGTGTTCAATAAAGAAAAACTAAAATGGCAAATAATTTTGAAATATATTATAAAAGAGTATTACTTTTAAATAAACAAATTTAACTTATAGAGGCAAAAAACTATTTGAATTGAATAATGATGATTTTTTAGGAGTAATTGAATTACTTTATGAGTTTTTTTCAGTTATGAAAACTAGCTGAGATCGGACCTGTAAAAATACGGACCTTTGTAAATCTATTCCAAACCAAACTTTTCCATATTTTTTCCTTATATATCCTAGCTTTCCGGATCCGTAAAATACAGGTCTTTACCAATTTACATATCTATTCCTCACTGATTATTTCTATAACTATTCCTTATTTACTTCAATATTTTTTAGTAAAATAATTTATTCTGAGAAAAAAATTTAAGAGCAAAAAACTTAACATGTGCACCTTTTCCGCATACGTAGAACTTATAAGAGACTTATAATTAGGTTTCCTTTCTGCTAAATGCATTTCATTGATAGCTCAGAGGTTAAGTGCACTGCCATCAATGTTGTTTTGGAGGGTTTAAGACATCCTCTTAGCGTAATAAATTTAGAAATTTTTCAATTTTGCTTATATATTTATAGCAAAAAAATAATAATATAGCAAAAAAGATTTCTAAAATTTAAAATAAAATTTTAAAGTTTTCTCATTTTATAGATATATAAGATTATATAAAAGATAAAATAAAATTAAACTTTTGCATTTATCATACATTTTTTTAATTAATTTTAATTATGTTGCATACAAATCCATAAAAATATATAAAACTTGCACAGATATATCAGTTTCACAAATAAGAGATTATTTTTTTAAAATAATAATAAATAAATAGTTTTTGTCTTTATTAGAATATATCCCATAAAAATATATTTCATATATCTTTAATAGAAAGAGTTTTTTAAAGAAATGGAAATAAAATCTTACTTCTATAACTATCATTTTCTATCATTTTATCAAGGTCTAAGAAGCAGATGATGTAATTTTAGCAATCAGAAATTATAGAGGGGCAAATCTAAAGTTGAAGATTCAAATTTTCCACTTGGATGTGACAATATCTTTCGTGTTTTATTAATCTTGTCAATTTTTTAAAATATAATACCAACTACAAGCAAAAAAGACTTGTAATTATTAGAAAAGTTTATTTATATTACTTACGATCCTGAATAAAACGTTATAAGTGAATTTGTTACATTTTATAAACAATATATATAAACAAATAACATATTTGTTTATACATACATTGTTTATATTGGGATGGTTAAGTGCAACAAAGTTTAAAATAAAATTAGTTAATATTAAAATTAAAAAATGATTTATATAATGTTTCTTTGCAAGCACCAAGACACTATATTTAAATTTTTAAGTGCACTAAACTGCAATTACTTTAATTTTTTTTGGTTTAACGGCTTTTGTTAAGAGTTTTTAAATTTTGTGTCAAATTATCTCATTTCAACATATTCTTTGTTTAATCCATACTGCAGCCGTTTTTCAAAACACCTAAAGGTAAAAAATATCAATTTTGACTTTTTTACAAAATAAGCTAGTTTATCTGTCTACAATTGTTATTGAATACATATTTTCAAAGAGTTTTGAAAAAATTCATTAAATTTGTTTCAAAAAATGTTTTATAAAGAATTAATTTTTAATTTTTTTAAAATTGCTTTTTCTTAAAATATGTAATAAGCATATTAAGGCGTTTTGAAAAACAGTTGCAGCATATATTTATAGTAAAAAAATAAATGTAGCAAAAAAAAAACTAGCTACATGCTTTTTTTTTTTGCCTTCACAGCAGCACTTTCTGGAGTAACAGGACTGTCTTAGAAAGTTTTTTCTTTATTAAGTTTCAGACAAACTTTTTCAGACCATTTGCAGCTTATTAGGACTAATAACACAAGTAATATAATAACATAAATAACATAATCTGAGCACATTAATAACATAAGTATCTCAATCATGACACATACGCAAAAAAAAATATTAAAATCTTTTTGTTCGTTAAAGTGTATAATATCGCTACATATGTTTGAATATAATCTCTAAAAAACTTCAAAAGTATTTGTATTTTAAAATAATAAAAACTGGCATGCTGATAGGAGAAATTTTCAAAACTATATAATAATATTTTCAACGGAAACAAATGTTATAGATCAAAATAAAGGAGAACTTAACGCAATGCAATTTTCAAATGAAAATCAAACTGTAAAACTTGATAAATGTTTTCAAAATTCAAAAATTCACAAGCAAAAGTGATTTCTAATTTCTTAGTATAATTTTTTTTTGAAATAAATTCAAAAATTTTTTTTTTAGGGCACTAAAAAGTTACAGCACAGGACTCCAAAAGTTTATAGCACAGCTCTGCAGACTGAATGTTGCAAAAAAATATTTAGATGTAACTAACTGAAACATTTATTGCATTGCAACAAATTTTAAAAATGTTTTAAATTGTATTAGCAGTAGTAAAAGACTTATTAAAAATAATTAAATGTTTCTTAAACATTAAAAAATTGTGACACAAAAATTTTCTTTATTTAATACTATTCTTTGGACATAATACACCGATCAATTTGTGTAAATTATAAATTTTAGAATTCGATCAATTTATAAATCACATTAACAACACCAAGCAACTCCAAAAATTAGTGAAACTGTTAGCCATGCCAACAGAACAGAAAAAAAAAACAGCAAAATTATAAATAGGTTATTTCTTTGACATTTTAAGAACCAACACTTTCTAAAATTCAGGTACATCTTAGCCAATTAGTTCTACAAAAATTAGTGAGCGACCAGGAAAGATATTTAACTAGGACCAGGGCTTCATAATTATTCACACATCCTAAAGTTTTTTATTTTTTTTAAATTCAAAATTCATATTCTATATATATATATATATATATATATATATATATATATATATATATATATATATATATATATATATATATATATATATATATATATATATATATATATATATATATATGATTTATATAATATTAATAAATATTATATAAATCATATTTTATATATGCAAAATTTATATTTTGTATATATATGCAAAAAATCTTCACCTCTTGATTGCTTAGAACAAGCAGTCAATTTTTATCTGATCTCTCTTCTGTGACAGCCTAAGGCTTGCAGTGGTTTATGGATTTAAATTCTGGACTTTAAATCTACAATTTTTGTTAGAAAACAAAACTCATTTATTTACTACAAAAATATATTCCAACAATGTTAGCATTCCTGCATTGATGAATAATAACCCTCTAACTCTCAGACAAAATCTAAAAGCACATTATAAATATATTTAAACCTGCTTTTTCTGCTAAGTTTGAACCACTCTCAAATTGTTGTAAGATTACATTTCTTTCTTTTTTCTACAAATACCATCATGGTCAATGCTCAAACAAGCTATCATCTCTATTACGATAGACTAAAACTCATTTTTGCTTGGTTCTTATTCAACAAGTTACACCCTTTTACTAACTCTATCCCTCCACGTAAAAACTTTTATTAATCCAGTTTTTTTCCTTGCACATCAAAAAAGCCTTATAACTCTTAGCCATCTTCATGTTCTTTTTTTTATATACAACCTAAAACTTTTTAAGTTTTCAGTTAAACATTTCCTAGTATTTTTACTTATTCCCTATTTTAAAGTAACTCATAAATTAATAGTGGTTGCTTGCAATTTTGTTGGAAGTAAATTAGAGTTTAAAAATATGTAAATAAATGCAAATATTTAATAAATAGTAAATGTAAGCATAAAATTATAATATATAAAGTATTATAGATTTTTTTTTAATCCCGGCTATCAACCCCTGCTAAATCTTATAGTTTTGCCAGGGCCAGGGCCGGGTTTGAAAAAAGTCTTATTTTTAGCCAGGGATGGGGCCTTAGTCACTTACTAACAAGAATTGATTTAATCATAACATGTCTACAAAATTCATAATAAAGAATATGTAATCAATAAAGTAAGACAACTAATGTCTTTTTCAAGTAGAAGATAAGTAATGACTCTCAGGTTTATTCTTCAGCTATATTCTTCCACTAAAACTAGTTAAAACATCTAGAGTGTTAAGCAAAACGAAAAAAATAGGGAATTTAAAGCTAGATTTCAAAACTTCATAACTTTTGAACAATTAGGAGCTTAAATTTTTAAATATTCCAATATTTTGAACTATTTGAATATAATTAAAATAAAACAGTTTTAGCGTAACTATAATTGAGTACACATATGTCAACTGTTTATTTCACAGAATTAAAATGTGTACATAAATATCAACTTATGTATGTATAAAATTTACAAAAACGTTTAATTTTGACTCACAGTATTTTTATGAGATTTATAAAAATGCTGTGGGTCAAAATTTTCCAGATACTAGAACAATTCGAAATTGTTACTTTTGAAAAAAATAGCAAAAAAGCTATTATTTTTAACTTATCTTATTTCTCAAACATATACATTTTAATTGATATAACTGAACTTCGAACTATTATATATCAATTGAAAGATTATAATCAGGCTTTCAAAGCCTAATGTAAAATATTTTATAGTACATTTCATTTGTTTTAATTTGTTGTTCAAATATTTTATAAGATTTCTTGCTGTAAAAATAAAGAGAAAGAAAACAATTTTAGACTGAGAAATAATATCTTATTTGAATGTGATTTTGATTAATTTCAGTGTGTTTCTGTGAAAATCTGAATACGTAGAGCTAAAATTTTTTCTTGTTTTAATCCTAAATAGGTTTTAATGTTGCCCAATTTTTGAAAAATTCTTTGAATTTTTAAAATAATATTGTGCGATAAGTTGAAATATTTTTTCTGACAAAATTATGAAACATTCTTTGAGGTTTGGTATGAATATAAGGTTAATTGAATGTATTGTACATGCATGTGCAATACCAAGAAATTTTACTATCGGAGTCACGATATTTTTTAGCGACTCTGACTCTGCTAAAATTGTCGCAACTCCGCAACTCCGACTTCACAGCCCTGATTAAAATAAATGAACTTGTATTACTATTTAAAAAAAATTTTTACTAGAAAAAATATTCCTTGATCCACTATATTTAAATATATTTCATAATCCTAGAAAAAATATAAAGATATCAACAAATCAAATTTAAAAAACTGTTTATATATATATATATATATACCTGTTTCAGAGGAGCTGCATAGCTATAAATTTCCCATTTTTTTGTGCTCTGGTAAAATAAAAAGTTAAATCTTTGGAAAATCAAAACTTTTTAAATTTTTTAAAATAAGATACTCATTCTAATGTTGAATAAAAAAAAAACCTTTCAAAATTCAAAAAGACATAAAAAGATAAGAACAAAACTTATTAACCAAAAAGAAGATATTTAAATCAAAACAAGAAATTAAAGATTAAAAGTTTATTTCAGCACACAATAAATAAACCAAGTTATAAGAATATTTATCATTACACAATAAATAAAATAACAAATTTAAAACAAAAACTTATGTGGAGTATTAAATTTATTTAATAAAAAAAAGTATAGCAATTAATTTATAAAACTTATATGTTATTATTATACATAAGTCGTAACACAAAAACTAAATTAAATTTTAAAAAGTATATTATTTTAGCATTTGGATTTGAATAATTTAAGATCCATTTAATGTTTATTGTTAAAAAGCAAATTTAATTTTCTATTTGCTTATTTTATCAAGCAAAACAAGTTTTAAATGTAAAAATCTTTTTTTAATCTGTATATAAATTTGAAAAATCTGTATATAAATTTGAAAAAACACAGAGTTTTGTCAATGTTCATCACTTGTATAGAAAAATTTCAAGTTATACCGATTCTGAAGAACATTTCAAAGGGATAGTACCATCAACAACAAAACTCGATCCTTTTAAATTTGTCACATCAAACTGAAAACAAAAAAATATTTTGAACTTATTATTCTTAATATTATCAATAAATTTATTATTAAAAGTACAAAAAATTTTAGTATACTGCACTGATAGAGTCGAATTTCTTTTTTATTTCAAAATGAAATAAAAGTATAAATAAATTATTTCAAAGGCACTTATATATATTACCAATTGTCAAATATCTTGATGTAACCTCATTTTAAAAATTGTTAATAACCTGTCAGTCTGTCATCTGTTGTGTAATTAAGAATTAAAATTCAAAAATTTCATCTTTTAACTTAAAAAAACTATTTTAATGGCATTAAGAAATTTTGACTTAATCAAAATTTACTTATATAAAGCAATATTATAAAATCAACAAAAACATTTTAACAATAATAGATTAGGCGTTTGTAATGCAAGATAAGAACCAGTTAACAACATTCAGGCAGTGGCCAAATAAAGATAATAAGAGCAGATAGTCACGAAAAACAAAATCTAAACATAATTATATATATAATTATTTAATTCTTATTAAAACACAGTTAGGCTTGACTTTTATGTTCAGAGCTATGCAAATTGGTTTTCAAAAATTCTGTTAATAAAAGTATAATCTCATGTAACTTTTATTGGATACTCAAAAGCATACTAATAATTGTTGCAAGGTTATATACTTACTTTATAACCTATTTTTGATCAAAACATTGCATTATCATTATAAAATCCCTCTGATGTTTTGTGAAAAATGTTTCTATTAAGTGGCATTCAGCTATTCTGTTCTCCATAACTTTATTATACTCTAATAACTTTTTATTATTCCAACTCTAACAACTTCAATATCTCTAACTTTGAAATCAATATGACAAACCATTAAACAAATCATTAAACAACTATTAAACATTAAACCATTAAACAAATCATTAAACAACTATTACACTTCTCCTGGTATTAGTTAAATATGCCAGATTTATAAGAAAATTATGTTAAAACAAACAGCAGACTTTAGCACTTTGAAGTTATTCGACAGTAATGCAAATAAATCACTATTATTGCAATTTTTTATTACTTAAAAGCTGTAGACGCGGGTTAATTTTCAAAATTATTATTACTTAATTAACGGATATAAAATTTAATCGACAGTTTTATATTGTACAAATTAAAAAAGTATATTTTCAAAATTTAGCATGACCATGGTCATTTAAAATCATTTGATTATACATATGATGAAACACTTAAAACCTTCGCAGTGTTATTTAAAAAATGAGATTTTAAACAAACAACCTCTTCTGGAACAGAAATAAGAGCAATCTCTTTAGCATTATCAAGATCTTTAACTGAAAGTGTATTATTAGTTTGTAATTTGAAAGATTCATAACCAAGCGGAATTTCCATTATTCTAACGCTCTACATGAATGACATGAACGCCCGACAGTATACTATTAACTTGTTACAAAGAGTGCCTAATAATAATGATGTCACACTTTTAATTTAAACATTTGTGACATAGGGGGTAAAGAAAACGTCAAAGAAAAATAAAGTAAATAAACTTTTTATAACAAACTTTTTTTATTATTATTATTTTTATAAGGTAAGTTTTTATCTTTTATTATTTATCTTTGTGCATTGTCTTTCAACTTCAATTCATAAAAGCAGAGTGCTACAAGAACAACTAAACCCAACAAGAGAGTGTTTTTTTTATTTTTTTATTAAATAACTATTTGAAAATTGCGAAAATTTGCAACCCAAAACATTTGGAAAATTAAAAAGTTAATTAGAACTTATTTAGAAGCGAAAATCAAGTTAAAGTCTGTAGCGTTCCATATCTAGCCTCAATTGTATTTTTTTGTTAGTCGACACAACTGCAACTAGACAACTGCGTTTAATACAAAATGTTATTAACCCCGTGTGTTTATATTGCATTGGCAAACGATTAGCTACTCATGTAGAATGTTAGCATCGTGCATGCTTGGCACTACATTAGATTAATATTAATATTAAAGTTAGTAGAAGTAGTTTGACATTAGTTTGACATTGAGTTCTGGCTTCAGAACTAGAGTTCCGTGGTTCAAAGCCAGCTATGGCCATATATTCATTTTTGCAGGGAAGGAGGCGTAAGCTTTTCGACTAAATGCTATTCTGCGGTGCTCTGTGATAAGAACCTTAAGACTGCTTAGAGCATTTAAATAACTAATAAAAAAAAACCTATCTAGTTAGAGGTAAGATACTGAATGAGGCAAGATGGCTTTTTTATTATGTATATTCATATTTTTCTAAACATTGTTAATGTATTTTATATGCTTAAATTTTATTTTGCGCTTAAAAAATAAATTAATTAAAAAAAATACGGTTCTAAGTATTTCTAAAAAGATGCTTCTAATTTGTTTGGCCATTTATATATATATATATATATATATATATATATATATATATATATATATATATATATATAATATATATATATATATATATATATATATATATATATTTATATATAAATATATATATATATATACATTTATATATATATATATATATATATATATATATATATATATATATATATATATATATATATATATATATATGTATATATGCTTTAATTTTTTGCTTTGCTTGTATATATATATATATATATATGTATATATGTATATATATATATATATATATATATATATATATATATATATATATATATATATATATATTTATATATATATATTAAAGCAAAGAATAAATATAAAATTTCAAATAATTATCGTTCAATCGTTTCGCAACAATTTAAGTATGCAATTTATAACTTTTTAAAATAATTTTCAACTAATTCAACAACTCTATAAGGATTACACTTAAACGGTTACTTTAAACTTAAGACTTAATTAAAAATGTTTTAAACTCATAAATTTAATTTTTATATTAATTAAATTAAATATCATTGAACGCGTTAACGCATACAAGAAAAAAAACACAGTGTGACGTCAGAGTCGTAACTTGATTGTAAAAAAAAAGGAATTACAGCTTAAATCATGTCGGGAATAACGCTCGTACTAATATGATTAATTAAAAGAAACCTATATATCATGTTTTTATAAAAATAAAATTTAGTTTTATGAGTTTTATAAATATTATGAAAAAACTGTCTCTTAAAAGAGCAACAAAGTAAGTAGAATGTTTTACATTTTAAGAAATTAAATGAAAATTTGTTTTGTGAAATCCTATAATGATGGGTAATGTTTTATGAAAACTGAATAGTCTAAGAAATTAAAGTAGCTCTAATTTAAAGCAAATAATTAAAATAATTTTCTATCAATTAAAATATTTTATTAATTCTAACGTGAACATAAATAAATATACTTTTTTTTAATGATTTAGACACGAAGTTAAATTAATATCAGCAACTCCCGTCCATATAAACAATAATTCAGAACTTTCCATGTATCAGGCTAATTCTGCATTTGATCCTAATTCTAAAGTTCTGGTGCCAGCTCCTCCTAAAGAACTTCCTCCTCCAAAACCTATCATTTATCAAGATGAAATAAAAGTGAATACTAAAGAACTTCCATCACCAAGTCGTCCATGTGCCCCGTTGACAACCTTAAAATTAGAAAACGAAGCTTATAATGCTCCACTACATCTACCGTTATTTAAGGAAGAAAATGTTTCAACAGGTCTGCATCCTGTTCGACCAGCACCTGAGGTTCCTGCTGTAGCCAAGGAAAAGTCAGTAATTAATTATGTGGGAATTATATTTATATTATTTATCAAGTTTCTGAATTTTTTTTATTTAATAAAACTTTTTCTTTAAAAAAGAAATTTCATGTCAAACCAACTATTCAATTATTCCTCAGATTTATTGGGGTTTATAAAATGCATTTTTTTGTCTAAAATCTGGGTTTTTACATTAAACTATTTTTTTTTAATATTTTTTTTTGTTTTTAAACTAATAAGATCTATGCATAAAAAAATTTGTCACAAGAAAAACTCGAAATTATTTTTTAGTTTTATTTTTACAATAAGGTTTTTTTTTGTGCAATACTTAGGCGATATGACTGAAACTTGTTATAAATATTATAAATATTTATATAAGTATTATATGTTAGTAAAATTACTAATTAAAATTGTTTGACAAATTAGATTACTTAAAAATTTTTTTTTTCTTAAGCAATATTTTTTAAATAAGCTTAAAATACTTTAAATCAAAAAAAAATTAGGAAACTTTAGAATACTTAATAAAAATAGAAATAGAAATACTTAATAGAAATAGAATTAAAACTTAATAGAAATAGAAATACTTTTCAAAAATATATATTTTCTAACTTTTAACAGTTGTACAAAAATTTTACATTTTAAAATTGTTGTGCAACTTTTGACAGTTAAATGTTGTCAAACTTCACTTTTTTAAAGCAATTGTTTTAATTCAAAAACAATTTTCATTCAATATTTTCCAGGAATTTTTAAAATTAAAGTCAAGTCATTTTCCATCCAAATTTGATAATCAAAATTTATACTTGTGATTTTTATAAATTGCTTTACAATTGAAATATACAATTTATTCTATCTTATTTACAAAATTTATATCCATATTTACATTTTAGTTTTAACTAGCATAACATCCTGGATAAATACTAATAAAAAATGAAAAATGCAATTTTTCATAAATATAAATATGTGAAAATATTTTTTGTTTTTAGACATGTGTACACTAGGTCATTAACATATCCAATAAAGGAATTAAAAGACAGTACAAGTTCTACATTAAAAAAAACCTACTCAGACAAGCAAAAAGACATTACTGTCTATGAAAAAGATATAAATATAGAGTTAGTTGATCAAGTTGAGATCAAAAAAATCTTTCCTCCTCCAGTTAAACCAAAGCCAATCAAATGTTCTACATCTAATCAAGTCAAAAACATTATTGATCAGCAAAAACCAGTAGCATTTATTGATGCAGGTGATGGTCTGCGTTCTTCAGACTCAGAAAGTCTAGGCAGTGAAATATTTCCATATGAAATACCATCTTCATTACTTGAAGAAGATGATGGTCAAAATTTCAGTAACTATACAAAAGATAATGATCAAGCTGACAGAAGTAAAAGTGAGTCAATGAGCAGTTCAGATGAACGAAAAAAGGCAAATAAAGTTCGACCATTATCAATGCCATCAAAAAAAAGTGTTGAGAGTGGTAAATATAAAAAAAGTAAATCATCAAGTTTTAGGCGAAAACCTAAATCTCCCCCTACTTCTCCAGCTCCTCCACCAATTTCTACTATAAATAGTATTTCAGGGGGCACACAGCATGACAATTTTGAAGTTTTTATGGAGATGCAAGACAAAGATATTGTTCTTGATACTCCAAGTTCACAGTTGCAAACTCAGGTATGTTAATACTTATTTGGTGCAAGCTAACAAATTTGGATAAGTAATTTAGATAAACTCCACCTTGTGTATGTCTTTAATGACTCAAATGATTTGACAGCTTTATGAGTATTTAGCAAATTAATAATGTATTTAGAAAGTTAAGTGCAGAAATAAAAAATATAAAATAAAAAAAAAATATTTAAACTGGATAGCAGTTTAGCACCAATTTGTTAAATAGTTAAATAAAACAATAGGTTTTAAGGTAAGTTAGCTGAAGTTTTAAGGTTTTTACTTAAAATATTGAGAATATTTAAGGTTTACCTATAATCATCTGGTACTTATTTAATATTTAAATATATTTAAAAAATGTACATTGTGCTAAATATTCAGTACTTAATAAAATGTTATAGATATCTTTTGATAGAGCTTTAATATTGCTTAGTCATATATAGGGTTACTTAAATATCTTACAACAAACTTTATAAATTACATTCTTGACTAAAAAGTCAACTTAACCTTGAGATCTAAAGAAAAGGTAATTTTTTTGTAATAATTTTGAATTGAAGCTAAATATTGGTGTGTTAGTTTATAACAGAATAAATAGGGCTTAAGGAAACATAATTTTTATAGTGAATTAAAGAATTAAGAGAGATATAAAAAAAAAAAAAAAAAAAAAATTTATTGCTTTTTTTTATTGTTTCATTTGCCTAAATTAAGTGAACAATTTTTGCAGCTTTTTAGTTTGAGATAATATATATATATATATATATATATATATATATATATATATATATATATATATATATATATATATATATATATATATATATATATATATATTGTTTATTTCAAAATAGCCCATGTCCTATAATGTTTATTGAAGAATACAAAAAACTGAGTTTGAAGTCGGCAAATAATTGCCAATCCAATTTTTTCTAATTTCGAGGGTTGATATATATATATATATATATATATATATATATATATATATATATATATATATATATATATATATATATATATATATATTGAGAATTTTATCTAATTGTTAATTGTATTTTAGCATTAAAAATGTAAAAAGCATTTTTTTTTAAATGTAGAAAATGAAAAGTGAACTTTCTATCAATGGTCCAAGATGTATAAGTTTGCGTTCTAATGAGAGCAAGTTAGATTGTGACCTGACTTTTAAAAAGGGAGATGTTATAAAAATTCTTTTTCATGTCAATAATGACTGGCTATATGGTCAGCTTAATGAAATTAATGGATTTGTATTTAAAGAACATGTGAAGATTGTAGAGGACCTTCCAAAAATTCCATCTGATATCCATCCCGAAGTGGTATGCTTTTTTTTCTAGTAATTGTAAGAAATTTTTATATAAAAATATAATTTTTATATTTTGTTATAAAATATAAAATTTTATTTTTCATGTAAATTTTCAATTTTATATTTTATAAATTTTATTTTTAGAACCACAAGAGGATGATTGCTCGCTACAACTTCAATGCTCGAAATGATAAAGAGTTATCATTAAATGTAGGAGACATTATAATAAACCATAAAAAAGTTGCCCAAGGGTGGTTTTATGGTGAAAGAGTATCACAGAAAGGTTTCTTTCCTACTAGCTATGTTGATTTTATTCAGTAGTTATATATACTTAGTATTATTGTTTTTGATATCTCATGTTTATTTTATTTTTATTTATTTATTTTTTAAAATCTCAAGTTTAATTTAGTTGGATTGTAATTTTAATTTTTTATTATTAAATTGCATCTTTTAAAATCATTTTTATGTTTGGTTCCGTTAATTAGTTTTTTTAAAAAATGTTTTAAATTTCATTTTTTAAACTAAATGTTGTTTGCACAATTTTATATTTATCCATATTCTGTTTTTTCTTTTGTATTATAGAATTTTGTAATTATCTTTATAGAATTATATTCAAACTTGTAAAAAGTATTTTTATACTATCTTTAAACATTTCAACTGTATATTTTTTTGTAAATTGTATACTTTTAATTCAAAGTTTTTTTACACAGTAAAAACTTATTTATAGAATTAAATTGTTGTATTTCTTGTTTAAGATAATTTTTTTTTTTTTTTTTTTAATGTAAAACTTAATCAGAAACATTGTTTATATATTTTCCATTCAACTTATATATTTATATATTTTCCATTTAACTTATATATTTTCCATTTAACTTATTTTAATTTTATTGTTAATGGACATGAAGAAAAAATACAAAAAAATGGGGGGAAAAATAGAAATAATGAAAATAAAATGCAAAAACTTGTATAAAAGTTAATGGTAAAGTGCAAACAGTTAAAACATGAAAGGGCGATTCAAGTCTTTGTTTGTTAGAAAATCTTCTAACAGTACAAGTGCAAGTGATGACAAAAACTCAAAGGAATTTTTTTTCTCCAATGAAATTTTGGAAGTATAAATTATTATATTTGTATAATTGTTGTTTTTTGCTTTTGTTTCATTCTTAAAAAGGATTATTTAAAAAAACAGGATATCAATAAAAGGAATTCAATTGCTCACAGATGCCGCACATTAAAAGAACTTGGAGAAATAGTTTTAACAAAAGAAATAGAAGAGGTAATACTGTTTTGTCTATTAGAAAATTTTTTTATCCCCCTTTAATTTTTTTCTGGAACTCAAGGTTAGTGGCAAAGGGGATTTTTTTTGGTTCATGTTTTTAATTCCATATTTTACTAGATAATTTCACATATGTGTGTATGTGAAGTTATATTATTAGTTATATTATATGACTTTCTCATATACATAATTGAAAGGTAATTAAATTTTATTTACACGTTTAGGAAATCTAAACAAAAGCAATACCCTTATTGTGAGGAAATAAAAGGCATCTTTTTTTGTCTTTCATATCTATGAAAGACAAAAAATTATTACCGCATTTGGATTGAAGCCTAAGGAGGTTTTTATACTTAAAAAAATGTTTTTGTTTTGCAAAAAAAAAAAATAACTTTGATAAATTAAAGTTATTATTTCTAATTTTTGCTCTATATTTTTATGGTTCGTTATTAAAAAAAAAAATTGTCTAATGAGGGTTTGAAGTTCAAAAATTGATACAAAATTACGATTTTTCGGGCAAAAATCAATCTGCATACTTTTATACATTCTCACTCCTACCAATGTCACAGATTTACCAATTTTTTTAAATATTCTTATAAAATATAGAGGATCAATATAAAATAATTTAAAATATAAAATTTTATAAAAAAGACACAATTTACCGCATGTTTAACACTTCTTTCTTTTAAATTGTTTGAAAATAAAACTTTGAACAATCAGGAAAATTTTTGCCCAGGTTTGCCCAGCTTGAAATTTTTTAAACAAAACAAGAAATATTCACAAATATTTACAGTAATTATTTAATGCACTAAATACCTTTCACCACTATAGTGGTGAAATCAAATTTAAATATGAAGAACAAATACATTTTCTATTACTTAATTAAAGGAAAATATGATAATAAATATGAAAGTTTAATTAGCAAGAAAGCGAAAACTGAAATTTGTATATTGATGTCTCAATGTTATCCGAACTAAAATCAGATAAAGTTAACCGAAAAATTTATGAAAAACTTTAAAAAGAAATGGAATGAGACAGGTAGACAAAAAGGGAGATTTATAAATCGTTACAAGAAATGGTTAAATATAGAATTTACTGTAAATGAATTTCAACAGTAAGTTAGGATAAACCATTTACAATAAGGTGCACCATCAAAATCATTTGAAGATCTCTCAACAAGGTCTAAGAAAAGAAGATCTTCAGAGATTACTGAAAAGTTAGGAGTTACTACTGAAAGCCTATTTCATGCCCTTATTCTTAATCTAAATAAAGAAGGACAAAATAAAGACGCCAAAGTTTTAAAACATATGATGGAAAGTAAAGTTGATGGATCCTGCAATGTATCATGCTCTAAAGTCCACTCAGCTGAAAAAGCTTTAGCTTTAATGTTAGACTGTAGAATTAGTAGGGCTGACTATCAAACTATCCGTCAATTAGATAAAGGTTGCATGTTATACCCTGCCCACAACTTTATTGTGAAATCTAAAAGTGATTGTATTCTAGATTCCAGAATTGTTACCACAAACTACAGTGCTTCTGTAAATCTTCAAGGAATAATAGATCACACTACAAACAGGATTTCGAAAGTTATTGTCAAAACTACCTGAGCCTTGCAATACTCTTTTTCTTATAAGCAAAGTCAGATTCAATGGTTCAATTGGACAGTCTGTTTATAAACAGAGAACTGAAGACGAAAAGGACAGATTGTCAGTCTCAGTTGAAGAATCTTTGTTTCTTTCATGTACAGTACCTGTGCAACTTAGTTCAGGAAACTAATGTTATTCTTTGGACTAACCCCAAAACATCCTCAACCCAATACTTTTGCCCTGTTCGAATGTAATACGTTAAAGAAAATCAACAAATTATTAAAGCAGAATATGATTTTTTTTATGTCAACTGAACTCAGAACAACAACAATAGACTTATTTCAAGTCAAGCACAAGTTAGAATGTACTATCATTGACGGAAAAGTTTCCACTCTTCTTTCTCCATTAACTGATTCTTATCAAGTTTGCAATATATGTGGATTAAATCCTAAAAAAATGAATGACTTATAATAAACAATTGAATTACTTATAATAAACACTTATAATAAATAATTGCTTATAATAAACAACTTAATCAGATATCTTTGGACCTGTCAATCCACACTCTCCATCTTTGGATTCGTTGTTTTGAATGTCTGTTACATATTGGACAGAGAAGAAGACCAGGGTACAATGATTGTGGATTTTTTCATGCAAACACTCCTGAAAAGAAAAATATAGTTGCATGTAGAAAAGAAATTCAGGAAAAAATCAAAGATACACTTGGACTTGTTGATGTACCAAGAAGTGGTGGCTCTGGTAATCCAATGATGGAAACACATCAAGAACGGCATTTAGAAGCCATGAAGCTTTTGCTGAAATACTTGGAATTGATAAGGGTCTTGTTAAAAGATTTTTCATTATCCTTTGTGTGTTATCCTGTAAACACCCAATTGATCCAGATAAACTAGAATTATATCGCAAAGAAACATTTAAGACATGTAGCACATTTTAAATGGTATCCTATGCCTGTTGAAGTTCACAAGATGATTCTACATTCACACCAGGTTGTAAGCCAGTTCCAATTGGCCTCTTATCTGAAGAAGCCCAGGAAAATAGAAATAAAGATGTTAAAAATTTTTGCGAATATTTTACAAGAAAATTTTCTAGAAAACTTACAAATGAAGATGTAATGAGATTGCTCTGCTCATCAGACCCCTTAATCACTTCTATGAGGCAAAGTTCTGAATCAAAAAAGGAACTTTCAGCAGAATGTTTAGACCTTCTTTTGTAACTTCCTAAATGATATTACATTCTTTATATCAAACTAATTGAATTATTGATAGTATGTGTCCTAAATATATTTACTTTATTTTAAGAAATCTATAAAGCTGCATTTTTAAAATAGCACCTTTTTCTAGTAGTATGTACACATGTTTAAACATGTTTCATTAATGTTTTTAAAAACTCAAACCCTTTATAATTATATATTTTTAAATTGCTCAGTTAATTAATAGAATATTAATTAACTGAGCATATTTAACTCAGTTAATATTGAAGAATGATTATTTTTATTTATAATCTTTGGTGTAAGACCAATATTACGCATTCTTTTTAAGTTGTTGTATGTTCTTGCTACCATATGCACAGGTTATTCATGTCTAGGTATTTACAAAATATGTGTACTTGATGATTTTGTTTATTAATCGACCAGGAAATCAAACTATTATAATACTGCATTTTGTTAGTATTATGGAAATAAATTTTAACATTTAGATATAAGTACAAATGCAAAAGCCATGTTGCATGTTATGTCATGTGTCCTTGGTGTGTTATTTTAGAGCATTTATTCTATACACTAATTTTCATAAATGTACCATAAATCTTGGAAATTATTTTAATTCTTTATATATTGTTGTAGTGCTTACTTTTTGTCCTTGGCACCTGTCCTTGGTGTTGTCCTTGGTGTGATACTCTGCATGTTTTTGTAATCCACCAAGATGTTATAAATGTGAAGTTTGTCCTCTAGAAAATATTTATTTAAAAGGTATTCATAATTCTGTTTAATAAGTTAAATGTAAGTTTTATTATGCTATGTGTTCTTGGTGTTCTGCACAGGTGTGATACTTATTCAATCGAGCAATATATCCAACATTCTGGTGACTGTTTATAGTCAATAGAAAGTTGAAAATTAATATGAAATACATGTCACATGTTTATTATTTGTTTTGCAATTTGTCCTTGGTTTTGTGTTATTGGCATGTCCTTCAGAGGTATATCAAGCAACATACAATAACAGTTATTGTTGGCCAGTATAATGAACCTTCACTAAAAATTTTAGCTTATTATCTTCAAAATTGGTGAAGATATGATTTTTGCCTCAAAAGTGGCATTTCTGGACCACTGTGCACTGAGGAACTGTGAAGCTCGGTCTTGGAGACTCCACAAACATACAAAATCTGTAAACCGTGATATTTTTTAAATTTCGTCATCCATCCATTGCTTGCAAAAAGATATTTCAGGTCCATTATTTAATCTAGTTACTTAGAGTGCTTTTAACTTTATCATTTTATTTGGAACTAAATTGTTTTATTGTTGCCGCTCCAAGAACCAAAAAAACACTTTATCGTCGATTTCACTATATTTTATTGTCTTCATTTGCTTAATCTTACTCTGATTCACATACATTTTGGTTGCATATTCTTCTAAATTATACTCTTTTATTCTACTTATAGTAAATTTAGCAACTTTATGTTCGTTACAAATATCTTTCTTTTCTCACCATTTTAAATGTCCTTTAAAATGGGTAGTTAATCTTTTAACAATATTGAACTTCTTTTTTCCTTCTGATTTAAGTTTTTTGGTATAAATATATGAAAGAAAATAAACATTTCTTAATAGTGATAATAAAAAACAAGTTTAACAATATTTAACTTGTTTTATGGTAATTAATATTAAGTAATTTAAAAGAGTTAATGTCTTTAAAAACTAAAAAAATAAAGAGACTTTTATGGCGTCAAATTCACTTTAGGCTGATGCATTAAGCATTTTATATATATATATATATATATATATATATATATATATATATATATATATATATATATATATATATATATATATATATATATATATATATATATATATATATTAGGGTGTTTCAAAAAAAGGTCATGTCTCCAAAAAAATAAGAGCCCTAGATTATCATCTGCCCAAACCATGATTTAGTACTAAAATTTTTTTTTTTTTAAATATTTGAAAATTCTAAGGGTCCTTTCAGGGGGTAAAAGGGGCAATTTTTAGGGCATTTTGTACCATTTTTAAAACTGTTTGAAGGATGTCTTGACATAAAGATTTATT